TGTACTTACCTCTTCCAATCTCTGCCTCAGCACAGTTCTGTTGCTTAATTTATCTGTGGAAATTTTGAGTGTCTGAAAAGTACAAGGAATACAGATGGCATTATTGTGTTTATAAGAACTATTTACAAACCTACTTAATATTAGATGATCATGAGAAACTTAACAATTTACAGTATTTCCCCTTACATGGACCAGAAGGTATCTGAGTAAGTTAAAACTCACTGAAGAGTGGCTTGTGTGAAAGGCAAGTCTGGTCTGGGACAGAACTAAAGGTCGGGGTTAGACAGAAAATGAGAAAGATTCAGAGGAACCCCACTGGGGAGAGATTACAAGGAGGGTTCTTACTTGAGAAGACTTGTATATGCTTATTACCTAATATCCAGCATGGTATTTAAATAAAATTCTCAGACATCTTTCCTTTGCTTAGGAATAAATATTCTCTTATCTGAAACCTTGTTTTTATTAATTAACTATGTAGTATCCTTTTACATAGTTTTAAAAATCAGATCTTAAAAAAACATGGGGAGGGGAAGGGTAAAACAAACCGTTTAAATAGGGATACAGGTGGATCCATTGCAACAATCAGATGTACAAGTCGTTATGTCAAAAACGAACTTTACAACTTTGGTGCGGGGGGGGGGGGAGTGGGGCGGGGGGAGGATGGGAAGGGATGGGAAGGGAAAACAAAGGAGGAGGGTACAATGCTTAAGAAATGTACTCATTATCTTGCCCATGTAATTGTAACCCCTCTGTACAGTATTTTCACAATAAAAAAAGGGATTTTATTTTTTAATACCACAAGATTATATATACACAGTAGCCCAAATTAAGATGAGAGTATTTTGTTTGTATGATGGGAACATAAGGCAAGATGAATAAAATTTTTCTTTAGAAGGTAGCTTAGTCTAACTAATAAATACTTTAAAATCTTTACGGTACTTAAGACAAAAAAAAAGCAGTCATAAAAGCATAGTGACAAACATACCTTCAAATTAATGGAAGAAAATCAGAATCTGAAACTCTTTTAAAGAGGCAAAAATACAAGGCTATTTCTGTCTCAAGAAGTAAATGATAATGTACCAGTGACATGGGACATACCCAAAAGTAATGATCTTTAAAAAGATATGGCCGGTCATGAACCTAGTCTTTGGTTTTCAAAATTTTATCACTTTATGCCTCTATTTCTACAAAAAATACCAAAAAAATTTTTGATAGTAAACTAAACCACAACCAAATGATCTATAGCACTGTATGTCAGAAAGAAATGCTCTGTTTCATGAAAAATAGCTTGGAAAGCCCATCCAATTTTTCCCTCCTAAAATGAATACTGCAGGCACTTGTTATAGGCTCACACAACGGTGAGCCATGACTGCCACCATGTGGAACACACAGACACCACAGTAGGAGCCTATTTCAATTTAATAGAACTGCCACATTCTTTATTCTAAAACACAAGGAAAACAATGGCAAGTATCTTGGTCTCTCCTTTGTTAGCCTAGATGCATTAATAGGATGTTCATTTTTTTGGTACAATTAGTTGCACACTCCTAGTGATGAACCAACTAGCAAAAAGTCAGCTACTGAAACCACCCATACCATAATCCTTGCCATTTGAAGTATGCTTTATAGACCCATAGCATTTGTATTAGTTGAACTTGTTAGATGCCTCATCAGGCAGCTGCTAGTCATATGCACTGGATCAGAACCTACATTTTAGCAAGACTACATGGTGACTGTGTATAGATCTAGTTCCTGCCTCCTTACTCCAACTTTGCCTCCTTGTTCCAGCCCCTACCTACCACTGGGGTACTTCTCACCAAAACTTCCTGATAGGTAAGTATAGCTGGTCTTATTTGAAATATCCAGTTAATTTGTATTTCCCTTTGGAAATAGAGCAACCGATTTTTATCATGTATTTTCTTAGGTTAAAATAATGGGTTAATTGTACAATTCAGAAACAATGAAACAAAATTTTCTAGGAAAAAAAAGGGATTGTTTAGTTTCAGGAGATTAGTGTATTTTATTGTGCCCAATCAGAGCCCTTCAGCATAAAGAGACACTCATTTACATATATACGAACATTTTCAGAAACATTAATTTATAACACATTTTTAAAAAAATACCGGCTTAAGGTATTTATTTACAAAAATATTTCATTACCTGATTTTAAACCTTTTTGCTGTGATAACAGTTTTTTTTTTTTTTTGCTGATAAAGTACAGGGATGCAAAATAACTACAAAGTCTGAACACATTTTTTTAGGGTTTGCAATAGTGCTTCTCCCCCCTCCCCCCAAACAACACAGTTTTTTGTTTTGTTTTGTTTAGACTGCATTTCAAATGCATGTCCAGCAATTACTTTTGTGATAGTTACTGGGACTAAGCAAGAATTTTTTTAAAAAGTGCAGAAATTGAACAAGATCTCCAGGTACAATTTAAAACATACATAAGCTAGAGCTTTATACCTAGCATGCTTGCCCAGGACATGGACATTTAGGGAAATTTAACCTTGCTTTTTATTTAATATGGTCTTTTGGCAATGCATTTACAACAAACCAATACTGTCACTAAAGGAAAATGTTTTTCTCATCTAACTACCTTGTTGGGTAGAGATCACACCTAAAGTATTATTGTACTGTTTATTTACAAAAAATAAAAAAAACATGATTTATCCTCTTTGAAAATCTGCTTGTAACTGCTATTTATCCTCTGTTAAATCTGCTTGTAACTTTTTATGTTGTCTTCAATTGAAGCGGTTTAATCCACAAAAAAATAGCAAATGCTAAAAAGATTTCATTGTCATTAACCTATACCCATTTTAAATGGTGGAGTCAAATAACTTGTAACAAATCAGTATTAATTTATTTACATCTTATGTACTATAAGATTCTAATTTAAATGATGAACCTCATTGTAAAATGCTGACAAAACCAACATTCATTTTTCTATAATAGAGAAAAATAATGAGCACTTACAACTACCTTCAGACTACTGTATGCAATTTTAAAATGAATTGTGCCTAATAATTCAATTCTGTATCAATGACTGAACAAAGCAATGCTCTAACCCTAGTACTTGGGAAGCTATTAATAATCATTGACTTCAGATGAGAAAGAGGTAAGCTAGTTTTTTTCTTTAATATTCTTTTTTGGTTGCAACAATTATATTTTCTGTTCACAGAACCTTCAGGACCTCTAAGGCAGTAGTAATATCATTAATATCCAGGAAATCAATTCCCACAGCACTGTACAGGAAGTTGACCAGACTGATGAAAAGAGCAATGAACAAAAGCTGTAAACACTATCTTCACATTCATTTTCAAAATGAAAACAACAACAACAACACTGTGGGCATAAATTTCAATCCAAGAGAACAAATGCCCTAAAAGAAAAGAAAAAGGTCATTTAAGATATAGGAGCATTCTTTTTTCAAAGGAAATACAGGTTTAAAAGTCTAGGAATATTGATCAAGTATCAAACTGATGAGGAACAAATTCTATAAATTACAAATGAAAACCTTCATTGACAAAAATACATAAACTCTTTTCATTTTTGGAAATTTATTTTTAAAAAATGTAGAAGAAAATACTTCAAAAACTATTTTAAATATATATCTATATTTTAAAACAATATTTAAGATAGGCATCTAACAGCAAGCTGTAGCTATTGAGAAAGATCTTGAAATTATTATTATGGGCATTTCCCCCCAAAGTAAGATAGATATTTGAAAATGCTCAATAGGTTTTTTTCTCCCAACCATAATAATGGCATCTTCCCTGTCATTTGTGAAGACTTTTGAATGATGCATTTTTAAAAATTAGTTGTATCTCGATATGAGATACCAGTATTTCTTATTATAAGCATAAAACATAACTTCTTGTATGGATAATATACATACTTTTTAAGTACTTTGACTTATAACTTAACAAGTTCACTATTTTTAAAATTAATGATTACATTTATAAAAATTCCATTTTAAAACTAAAAGTATATTTTTAGCAGTATGTATTATAAATATAACATGTTACTGCATGATTGTAAAACAAACCTGAAAGCACTGCAATAATTTAAGACTAAGAACACTGATAGAATAATCTTACATTTTTTTTAACCTTTGAAAACTACATAAAACCCTACACAAGGCTTTAAAACAGATGGTTGTTTAAGGTGCAGCTAGCAGCATATTCATGATTTTGGTGTTATACACTTCGTTTAAACTGAGCAATGTAGATTAATGATAAACAGTTTTCATTTCCTACAAAAGTGCAGAAAAATTCAAGTTTTAAGTTCAGTGCTCTTTATTTTGCAGAAACAAAATCCCCAATGTTAGAATGTAAAATAAATCTTTGCCACAAAAAAATTTACCTTTGGATATAGCTTGTCTGTCACATGAGAAATGCCTTAAGCAAAACATATGTGGGAATATAGAACTCAGGGTAGAACTTTGAAGCCTGCATCTTCCCCATACCCTCCCTTTCCTCTGCACTTTCCCCAGCCCCTCTGTAACCTAGAAGCACAGAACACTTTCCGACTTGTTGCAAACCCTTACATATCTATAGTAGTAATCTCAGATGAACCTTCAATGAAAAGAAAGGATTTATACTTAGAGACAATAATACAGACAAGTAGCAGCAGTTCTTCATATCCTCAAGTAAGGAAGGTACTAATAATTGAGTTGAATCCATGACCAATTGGAACACGTTGCATGATGGAAATGCAAATGAAGAGTTTGTCAGAATGTAGTATTTCAAACAAACGTTCTGAGCAAATATAAATGGATTCTAGTCTACAAAATGACATGCACCGGACATAGAGTCCACCTGGGGAAATCACTTCCTACTTACACACTGCTAGTCAGTTCCACTTCAGTTTTTTCAGTTTTAGAGTAAAAGACAAATGAGAAAAAAAAAGAACGTTGATGATGTGGAAAAAACATACCAAAATATTTCTGTCTTGCATTATCTGGTATGTTCTATTTAGTGTGTTTTATTGTTGTTGTTGTTTTGGTGGTGTTATTTTTCCTGAAGTCCTGTGTTGCTGTGACTATTACTTTTTGAATTTAACAAAAACAAAAGAGAGAGAGAGAGAGAGAGAGAGAGAGAGAGAGAGGAGAGAGAGGTCATCTCTCAAATTATAATAAATCCCTGGGTTACTTACTGTTTCTTATCTACAGACTGAATCAAGTCTAGCTCTGAGGAAGCTTATTTCTTATACCCAAAATACTTTTAAGCTTTCTGATAACCCTATAAGTCTTCAGATTGTTGTGCATAATTTGTGGACTAACAATGAAATAATTTAACACATTAAGATTGTCTTATAAAATCCATCTCAGGTAAAAGTATCCATATCCCTATTTGGAAACAATTTACAAGTTTGACCCATTTATATACAATAGGAAAAAAATGACAGTAAAGATAAATTTTTATACAAATAACAAAAAATAACACAGTGAATTAAATGAAGCTAATATGGCCTTCTACAGGGATAAAGAATTAACTCATTTAATATTTCTCAACTTTAAAAAATCTGTAGCTTGATTTCTATAGTCACAAAACTACACATTTATAAAAGGACCTAATACTTCCTGAAACACACCATGGAATGAGTTTATTGGACAATATATATATATATATATATATACATTAAGCAATTAGTAAACTGCCATTTTCATCAGACAGCTGATTATTAAACAAAAAAAAATGTTATTCATTGGTATTTCTACAAATTCAAAAACCTCTGAAAATGTTTGCATCTTTAAAATATTTCTTTTGGCTTAATCAATTATCTCCACCACAAATATTTACTCCCTACCCAATGATACCTAAACTTAGATGTAAACTTTTATATCAGTAGTGCACATTATAAAATGTAAACAAACACTTTATTAATGAAAAGAATAAAGAGAAAAAGATGCATAACAGATTATGTGAAAAAGTTAAAATGTCTTACACATACCTTTAACAATTATGTGAAATAGAAAAGCAATCATGTTAGCTATCAATTGTGCTGATTATCTTGTAATGATTTTAAGCAATTTTTCATAGGACACTATTTAATGTCAATAACATTAATCTTAATGCTTTACTTTGCTCTTTGTGGTTTTAACAACAATAAATATTATCTCTGATTAGCCTACACAAAGAGATTGCTTACTTCCAGATCCACCAGTGGTTTCTTTTCTGTTGGCAATGCTATTCTAGTAGTCAATCATACACTGTCCACTGCTATATCAAGTAGCATTATAATCCATTACCGGAATAATTTAGTTACCAAAGTGTACATATTTTCCTTTCCCTAAGTTTATTAAAAATCTTGAAAGGGCATGTAGTGACTTATAGTATATTTCTACAGAAAATAATTTGTAGATCATCAGATTAGACTCTTACAGAATGACTGACAACAGACACTTGTAGTTTCCCACACCACCACATGTGCACGGAGATATAATTTGCTCATCACCTGAGTGAATCAGAACTATCAGCAAATACACGGTATTTTAAAAAGGGAGCTCAGCATTTTACTGAAATAATGAAACAGTGTTCTTTTAGCAATTTTAATTAAATAATGCAAAGATACATTTGGTTAAACATTTTATAAAAATCCAAGCAAAATTAAAAACTTAGCCAGTTTCAACTCTTCTACAAATTTAACCAATAACTGTTTTGGTCAAATTCACCTTTAGCTGAATGAATAAGGGACAAAGGACGTTGAAGTAGTCTCCTCACCACAATGGAGGTTTTCCCACTTCCCACTCTGCATGGCTACTACACGGAAACTTCCAGAATGATGAGCAGTTCCGTCTGTCATGCTCCACACTTTTCTTTCCAATGAAAAGTGACATATCACTTTGTTTTGTTTTTGACAAAATATAAACTGAACACAAGTATATAATAACAAGAATCCAAGAGTAGCCCATACACAAATCAACTATGTGTATGTTTTGATTATTTAAAGCCCACCATTCAGCTTAATCTAAAGATATGGTAACAAAGTTTGTTTCTTTTTCACGAATGATACTGATGCCCAGTCAGTTTAAGGAAAGGAGAGTCCAAGACAGCTGTATAATTCAATCCAGTGACACAAGTCTAACCATTTCAGCTCAAGACTTCTGACTTATTGCCTCTCCCCTGAAACAGGTCAAACACTGATGGCAGATACAACGGCACAAAATCTTTTGGCATATGAAAGTTTAATACAGGAATGATCCAAGAAATAGTCCCTGCACGTCTCCTCAACATCCCTCTTTGTGTCTTCATCTGTCAACTCATAGCTGGCACACACAATGTGCTCCAGTTTGAGTGTGTGTGAACACTCCCCAGGCACAGCCACATGACTGAGGTAAAACAGTGCATGATTGTGCTAGGAAAGAACAGTTTTCAGTGATGAACACCCCATTAATGTTAACTTTCCTATGTAAATCAATGAAATAAAAAGGAAAACCATCTTTCCTTCTGGATGAGTTGGACTTAATGGATTTTGGTGGTTAGAACTGGTACCACTTCTTATCTTTGTATTTCAACATCATCTAAAGAAGAAAAAAAGAAAAATATTTTGAAAATGCTAGAACAACAGTATTTATAACTACGTTCTATATTTTTCTAAAACATTCTATCTCTCTGAAACATTCTATAGAATTATTAGGTTGGTTACTTCAAATCAATTTAGTGAAAGCAGTAAGTAAACATAGCTTTATGAGGAAAAATAACAATAAGCACAATTATGTCACTATATTAGTCAACAAAACATATGTCAACAGGTCAGATTCTTTTTTTTAGATGTGACATAATGTATGACAGGATTTTCTTTGTGAAAGGTGATATAGCTTGGTGACTAATACAGTGATCTACAAATAAGGCAATTTTCAAGTCTCTAAAATGAAGTCAAATGAGGGATTTGACATTTAAAGACTGATTCTATTACCCACCACTATGACTGACTGCCTCAATGTCCTGTTTTCCTTAGACTCTGGAATATTTGATAGAAGGTAAAAGCCCTTTGTTACTTAGAGTATGGAGATATTGTGAAATTAACTCTAGTGCTATATGCCTTAGGTACCACACATGGTTAGGACCACGAAATTCCTGCCCTAGCTTACAGCTGAGATGCTTATGGACACAGTATAAGTATTCAAGAAGGATCTCTGAATTTCTCTGGAATCCTAAATATCTCCCAGATCAAGCTCTTTCTCCCGTGCATTGCAATTTTCATCATTCTTGAGTAAACAGATGACTTCCGTTTGAACAGTTTAAAAGAGACTATTACTGTAATTAGGTTCTCAAGTGTAAAAATAATTCATATGGTTGATTCAGACAACAAATTCAAAATGGCCTCAATGACCAGACTAGGAACTGATATAGGAGACTGGTGCAAAGTATAAAGGACTAGAGATTTGTGCCAAAATTAAAAATGTGCATTTTACACAAAGGCTTTCAAAAGTTCAATTTTTAGTTGTTGGTATAATCTGTGGAGTGGAAGGGAAAAAACGAATCATTTAAATAGGGATACAGGTGGACCCAATTGCAACAATGAGATGTACAAGTCGTTATGTCGAAAAACAAACTTTACAACTTTGGCAGGGGTGGGGAGGGGATATGGGTGTGGGGCGGAATATGGGAAGGGATAGAAAGGGGAAACAAAGGAGGAAGCAACAATGCTTGATAAGAAATGTACTCATTATCTTGCCCATGTAATTGTAACTCCTCTGTATGGTATTTTCATAATAATAATAATAAAAAGTTCTATTTTTAAAGAGCATGATGTTTGTTAGGGAGCCCTACTTCATGGCCTCTGTTTCTGAGCTCATGATTTCCGAGGTCTATCGAGACAAACACATTGCAAAAGGCCCTCTCTAACCCTCCAGATAAATTAGTCCACAACATGGAACATGGACTTAGTGTTCTTTATTTCAATTAAAATTTTTGCCAATGTAATCTATTTTGATCTTTCAGGGAAAAATCAAAGAGACAGATTATTTTCTTCTCTAGGGTAAAATTTTGAGGAAGATTCTGAGGAATTCAGGAAAATTAGTATTTTTATTGCAGTCTGTAAGAAACAGTTACAAAGCTGCTAGTATAGTTTATCAAGATTCTGAAGGGGAGCAGATTTCTTCAAAATGTATAAACTTAGTACTAAGATCAAAGGACTATTGAGATGTCCTTGTAATGGTTCCCTCTGGTGGCAAATGTAAGGAAATCTGTAATTGTACAAAGGACATAAGAAAGTTCATGTGTGTAGAAATACAACAGCTGTAGAAATATATCCCCTGAAGGTTTGCTTTCCCAAGTGTCTTAAGAATATCCTGACAGACATACCTCATGAGCATGTTTAGAAAATGAATCTGCACTTGATAACATAGCCGCAGTTCTTTCTTCCAAGTCACTAAGTTTCTGCCCTCTTTCATCCAGTGCCAACCTGGCTCTTGCTAATTCTCCAACAACTCCAGATGCTGCTCCTTTCACACCTTCTATGCCACCAGGACCAGGGATGTGCTGTGCTAGACTCCTTGAAGCCTTCCCAGAGGATGACTCTCCAACTGAAAAGATTAGAACAAAAGAGCAAGGCAAAAAGTCATGGAGCATGGTTCAATTGGTAGAGTGCTTAACAAGTATGAGTGAGGACCCTGAGTTCAAACCCTAGTTTTGTCAAAAAAAAAAAAAAAGGAAAAAGTGAGAATTTTACTAATATAAAATCTTTCTAGCCAGACACTGGTGGCACACACCTGTAATCCTAGCTACTGAGAAGGCTGAGATTTGAGGAACACAGTTTGAAGCCAGCCCAGGCAGGAAAGTCCATGAGACTCTTATTTCCAATTAATCACAGAAAAAGCTGGAAGTGGCACTGTGGTTCAAGTAGTAGAGCGCTAGCCTTGAGCAAAAAAAAAAGAGCCCAGGGAAAGCATCCAGAGTACAAGCCCCAGGACTGGCAAAAAGGAAAAAAATCCTTCTATATGACAGTATAATTTTGGACTGAGTGGCAATGTAATTGAAAATATATATTTAACTTTATAATTAATGAACTTCAATTATAATAGTTTTAATAATTTCTAGGTACTTTTCCAACCATACAAATATACAATGTCCATTAACAAATATTTTCCTCTATACTACTTCAAACAGCAAGACTTCTCTTTGAACTAGTATGTGAACTGCAAAATGAGCAGGTAATTACTTGTTCATATGAATAACAGCATGTGAATAAAAATTTACATAACTAAAAGATTATTCACTTAGAAGGTTTAAATTTAAATATACAGATTTGGTTTTAATCTATTTTCTCTTTGCTTTGAGAAAATAATCTCATCAGTATCCAAGGCTGGCCTCAAACTCATGATCCTTCTGCCTCAGCCTTCTGAGTCCTGGGATTATAGGCATATACCACCTATATATCCAGCCTACTCCCAACTTCTTGTTTTGTAAAATTACTATCCACAGAGTTAAAAGTATTCCATATTAGTCTTTAAAATCTGTAGATATGGGGTATCTCTGTTTCCATTTGTCTTTCACTTACCAATAAGTCAGATTTTCCCTTCAAAAGACCATAGGATTGTTTCCTTTTACTTCACAATTCAGTTCCTGAATATCTAACACCTGGTTCACTCCAAGTCTTACATTCATTAAAGGTTTATTTATTCCGATCCATTTGCTTTTAAGCTTACATTTCTTTCTTTTACAAAACAATATAACCAAAAGGCCATATGATCGTCTTTCAAGGTAAACAACTCTCAAAGCTGTGCAACCATTGCCACCATCTACTTCCAGGGCACTCCAAAAGAAGCCCATACCTGTTAGCAGTCATTTTCTAGTCCTCCTCTTCTGAGTGCTTCTCTACCACTAATTAATTCCTTCTCTATAAATTTGCCTATTCTGATCATTTCAAGCAAATCAATTTATACAGCATGTTGCCTTTTGTGGCTGGATTTTCACTGAGAACAATGTCACAGCTCATCAGGTGATAGATACTTGGTTAATTACTTTTTGGCTGTTATGATAAGGTTATCAGTGAACATTTGTAGATTTTGTGTGAACAGTGGATTTTTGTTCCCAAGAGTGAAACTTCTTGCTGAGTTATGTGGTAACTCTATTTAACTTCAAGGAACTGTCAGATGGTTTTAAAAAGAAGATGTACCATTTTTCATTGCTATGTATGAGCCTTCTAACCTCTCTGCATCCTTGCCAGTATTTTTGGTTATTTATGATGGATTAAATACTGCAGATGTTTTACAAGTTAAAGGCATTGCTATAGTTTGATTCTCAGTATCCTTTTCAGAGTTATGTGCTGTAAGTCTGGTACTAGCTGATGGCACAGTTGGAAGCTGTTGGATCTTTTAGGATGTGGGGCTATGAGAGGGAAAGTTGGGTTCCTAAGGGTGTGCTCTTGAAGGGGAAATGGGACCTCTCCCTCTCCCAAACCCTATTCCTCTCTGCTTCCTGGCTACCATGAGGGGCAGCTGTGTTCCATCATGTGCTCCTAACTGTAATGGTCTGCTGTGCCACAGACCCAGAAACCAGGGTCACAGACTGACCACAATCTGAAGCCAAGAGCCAAAACAAATCTTCCCTCCTTTTAAGTTGGTTTTCTCAGGTATTTTGCCAAAGTGACATACATCTAATACAGTCATCAGTTAAAGGTAAGTCATCAGTTAAAGGTAATCATAGGAATAAAAATGAGATAACATATGGCTTAAACAATCCATTTAAAGTTGTAAATATTCCTTTTTAAGCTCCTTGAAATAATTTTACTTTGGATTCCTTGAGAAAAATATTTTCCTGATTTGTAATACAATGAAAAAATAATTTTATGTATTTTATTAATATATGTATGTATATTTCTACATATCTATAAATATATCTTTAAAATGTGTGATGTTAGTTGCTGTAACCAAGAAGAAAAAGTGAACAAAATTTACACATGTAAGAAGTTTATAGCACTGGAATGTTTCTTTCTTAAAGATGTATCATCTGAATTACATAAATGAACTCACATAGTTCTTCTCTATCAAGAGACTGAGCACCACCTCCAAACAAGCCTTTAAAGAATCCCCTGTTCGGTGCCTCAGGTGTTTCCACAGGAGTGAAGAGTTCACCCAACATCTCCTTTAAAGTCAAAAGAAATTATAGTCATTAAAGCTTCAGGGAAACTACTCTGTAAGTAATAAGATAATCACTCTAAAATCTTTCATGTGAACTTGTAACATTATATGTTGAAATTTAGGGCTAACTTGATGCTTTCTTCTTTCACTGGATGAATTTCTTTGCATCGAAGGCAAAGGCAGACTTCTACTTAGACCGTAAGGACAATGTTCTTGTTGCTGGTATTTTTGAGACAGTGTTCACTATGAGCTCAGGCTAGCCTGGAACTTGATTCTCCTGTCTCTGCTTCCTTGAGTACTAGGTTTACAAGTGGGTAGCAGTAGGCCTATGAGGATTTAAATGTTTCCACCAAATATTCACATAACTTATCAAGAATTGATAACTACATTATTAGTTCTGCCTTCTTATATCAGGAAGAAGAAACTTTTATATTAGTAGGTCAAGTAGTTTAATGTAGTTATGATAATGTACAGTTTTAGAGCTATATGGAGTCAGAAAACCACTAATTTAGACAAACTAACGTCCTTTTCCATAAACATTACCAGGAACACAATTATGCAAACATACATCTGGATTTTCAGAAATCTGGCAGGAAGCTGGAAAGAGTTCCTTCCATACTGCCAGATTTTTGAGTCAGTCATGCTAAATCACAGAGTGACATGACATGCAAAAAGTGACAGTGAAATACAAAGCTTTATTTACTTCACTTAAAACTATTGTTCATATTTCATCACTTATTAGGTGTTTAATGAACTCCTTTCCCTCCCCTTCTCTTTTCTCCTTTTCTTTTCCGTTCCCCTTCTTCCTTTTCTCCTTGTTTGGTAAGCTTCTTCTCTTTCCTTCCTCTCTCCTCTTTTTTAATTGAGCCATGCTCCTGTTCTTTTGCTTTCAGGGTTTTTTTTTTTGCTTTTGTTTTGTTGAATTAGTCTTACGTTTTTGCCTAGATGAGACTTGGGGTTAAATCCTCCAACATTCACCTGCCAATTAGGTTGGACCTCATGAGTGAATCCCATACCCAGCTTGTTTTTGAGACAGTGTCTCACTGACCTTCTATCCATGCTGGCCTCAAACTACCCTTCTCCTCCTATCTGCTGTCTAGAATAGCTGGGACTATAAGCATGCATCATCACATCTGGCTCTTCAAAAATGATTAGGAAATGCAGATGGTTCCAATTTTGTTGAAGTTATTGATTTATCCTTTCACAAATGGTACTTTTGGCATCACAGCTAAGAAACTGTTATCTAACTCAAAATAACAAGAGATTTTCTGATTCCTTCCAGAAGTTTTATAGTTTTTTTAAATTTATGATCCACTATGAGAAAATCTTTGTAGGTAGTATGAGATATGGATGAAAGCTCACTTTTTTTTTTTTTGGTCGGTCATGGGGCTTGAACTAGGCTTGGGCGCTGTCACTGCGCTCTTCAGCTCAAGGCGAGTGCTCTACAGCTTGAGCCATAGCACCACTCCAGTTTTCGAGTGGTTTATTGGAGATAAGAGTCTCACCAACTTTCCTGCCCAGGCTGGCTTTGAATTCGAGATTCTCAGATCTCAGCCTCCTAAGCCTCTGGCTTACAGGTGTGATCCTGTAATTACAGGTGTGATCACTGGCACCTGCTCTCACTTTTTTATTTTTTTTGGCACTTCAGTATCTATTAATTTTAGAAACATTTGGTGAAAAGGCAGTATTTCTCTGTTGCACTGCCTTTTCAAAAATATGTTGTCTACAGATACATATATATGTAATATATTCCTGAATACTCTATTCTGACCCATTGATTTAACTGTCCATTTGATGTCAATACCATGTTCCTTTGATTACTGTAGCTTTACTATGATTCTTAAAATAAGGCTCTTGAATTTTGTCTCTTCATTGTTTTGCCTATTTTACTTTTCTTCTATTTATATATTAAATTTAGAGTAAATTGTTAGAAAAAAAATTTTTTTCCAGTACCGGCCTTGAACTCCAGGCCTTTGAGTCTCCAGTCTACCCTGCTCTTGTTATTTTGAGATAAGGTCTCACTCTTTGCTAGGCTGCTCTGAGTGCAATTCTGCTACTTATGCTTCCTGACACAGATGAGATGACAGGCATGCTTTTTCCATGCCTAGCCATTTTTGTTGAGATAGGGTGTTAAGAACATTTTTCCTGTGCTAGACTCGAACCAGAGTTCCCAGATTGCTGCTTCCTGAGTAGCTAGGATTATAAGTATTAGGCATCAGGGCCTGACTAAAAGTTAATTTTTAGCAACAACAATAACAAAAAACCCACTGGAATGCTGATTAAGTGAACATATTTCACTGTTACCTTTAAAGAAAGAACAACTTCATTTACCTGAAGATTTTCACATGTCTCCTGACTATACGTAAGTCTCTGGATTTCCGTGGGTGAAACAAGATATAATGCTTGTCCATTGTTGGTGAAGCAGAATGTTCTGGCTATCCGCATATTGGTAAGGGGTAAGTAATACACATCCAACAGAGGCCTTAAACTTGGCAAACTTGAGAAAAATGTTAAGAAGTTAATAAGAAACATGGCAAGTTTTAGTTTTATGAAAATTATTACAGAAGTTAAAAATGCATGGCCAGGATTTTGTGATTTAGATGATTGATATCCCTGAAAGAGAAAGAAAATGATTTATATCCCTCATGCAAGCATTCACTATTAGGTGGAGGACACTGAATTCTCAGTGTATAAAACTATGATAAAAGAATATTTTTTGGGGGTAAATTTATTTATTTATTTATTTTTGCCAGTCCTGGGGCTTGAACTCAGGGCTTGGGTGTTACTACTACCCTACCACAGTGAGCCACAGTGCCACTTCTGGCCTTTTCTGTTTATGTGGTACTAAGGAATCAAACCCAGGGCTTCATGTATGCAAGGCAAGAAAAGAACCCTACCACTGAGCCACATTCCCAGCCCCGAAAAAAAGAACATTTTTAAGACCGGATTTCATTCTTTGTTATCTGAGAAGGAAGTGCTGTGTGATCCAAAGAGGAAGGGCTGAGTGATCTGAGGAAGTGCTGTGTGGTATCTAAGGAGGAAGTGATCTGAAGAGGAAGTGTATGTGATTATACTCTTTGTGATCTGAGGAAGCAGTGATCAGTGATTTAAGGAGGAAGTACTGTTGTGATGTGATGAGGAATTGCTGTGTGATCTTAGGAAGTGCTGTGTGTGTGTGTGTGTGTGTGTGTGTGTGTGTGTGATCTGAGAAAGTAGTGCTCTGTGATCTGAGGAAGCCTGTGTGATCTAAGGACAAAATGCTGTGTGTGTGTGATCTGAGGCAATGTTGTTGGTGAGGAGGAAGTGGTGTGTGTTCTGTGGAAGAAGTGCTGCATTGTTTAAGAACATCTCATTCTTACCTGAAAGTCATAATATGACCATTTGCACAGAAACACGCAAGGCAGATGCTGTTGCTCAAAGATACAATATCTCCTCGGAGTACGAACGAGGTCTCAGTAATGTTCTGCTTATAAGCACAGTTTTGTGTTGGCAGTGAGATCACTTTTGCCTGCTTTTCAGAACATATCACTGCATACTGGTTTTCACTAATTTCCTGAGAAGATGAGGGGGATACTGAGACAGGCCGCCGCTTTTTTAATTTCTCCTTCTCATCTTTTTCTTCAGGAACATTGTGTTCTTTCCAGGGTTCATAGGCAGGTGGTATTAAGCAGCCTGTGGCATCCAGAAAGGCCATCCTCAAAATTGCACCTTTTAGTCTCAATATAGTACCTAAAATATAGAAATTTAGTACATACCTGAAATATTTTAATCCACAGAGTAAATATGTTTATCACTAATCTAGACTCTACAGTTGAAAACATTTATTTTTATAAGTCATGGGTTTATTTTTTCTTTTTAATTATCTTCAAACAGTTGTGAAGAGGGGTTTCAATGTAATGTCTGTGTACAATGTTTCTTGATCAGTCACCCTACCACAACCCCCACTCCATTTTAAACTGAATTTATACACTAGTCATAGGCAAGATTAAAAATTCAAGCCAAATATTTATCAGTGTGCTAAGATAATATTACATGCCTCTAATAGATAAATACCACTGACTGACAATTGGTAATTTAATTTTGAGTAAGCCCTGGCATCTGGAACTATAACACCTTTCATGGCCAATGAGTGTACTGTTATGAGTCTGAGTAGACAGCAGATGGCATCTAGCACTGTCCAATATGACAGCAACTAGGCTGATGTGTCTAAACTACTGGAAATGTTCTTGTCCTTTGTATAACTGTGGTGTGCTCTGACAGTAAAACACATTCTATATTTGAATGCTTTAACAACAAAAAAAAACAACTTAAAGTCCTTCACTGATTTAAAAATAAAAATTGTATTTTGAAATGACAGGATTTTAGCTACAACAGGATAAAAAAAATTAAAATTTATTTTGAGGGCTAAGATATAGCTTGTTGGTAGTTTTGCCTAAAATGACTCATCTATTTTTTTTGGTGGCTACTAGAAAAATTTATGTGGATTACCTTACATTTCTAATACACAGTACTGACTGAGGGGAACAATAAGAAAAACAATCCTAGGTATTCCTTAACTATGCCTCTAAAATCATAATTGCTTTATAAAATATTCACCAATAAATAGTAGATACAATCAAAGCATTACTTTGTCTGCAGTCCTAGTTTAGGGGTTACATTTATTGTCTGCTTTCATTAGTTGTGCCTTTTAATGCTTAAAAATGCACATTTATTTCTAAATAAGCTATGTTTACAAAAGGATATAGCTGCATTCTAGTTCTTACTTAAAATGGTTCTTGATGTTTTATTATTTATATGTATATATTTGGTGTAGCATACAATATTTCCATATATTATTTCCTTTTACTTCTAAGAGAAAATGTTCCTGATGTGCTCTCCTAACTTCATTTTATTTGTCTGTGTTGGGGCTGTGTTCTGGGGCTTGAACTCAGGGCCTGGTGCAGTCCCTGGGCTATTTTTTTTTGCTCAAGCGCTCTACCACTTGAGCTCCACTTCTGACTTATGATTGTTTAATTAGAGATAAGAGTCTCAAGGACTTTCTTCCTGGCTGGCTTTGAACTGCAATTCTCAGATCTCAGCCTCCTCAGTAGCTAGTATTCCAGGCATGAGCCACCAGTGTCTGGCCATCATAATTATTTTTTTAAAAGAAAAATTCCTTCTTCTTTTGTTTTCTCTAAAGTAAGGTTGCTAGATAAAAGTAAGAATATATCAATTTAAATTTCAGATAAATATATTTTTAGTCAAAGTATGTTTGGAATATATTGTTTTTGAATACTGCATAGAAAATATATTGGAAACTATATGTAATTTGAAATGAAAATTTGACTGGACATCCATATATTTGTTGACTAAATGCCAATAATGATAGACTCCAGGTTTGGCCAAGTAGATAAATTTACTATTTTAAAGCAGTGTGGTTGAAAAATGAGATACATAAGCAATTTTAATCTTATAGTTTTAAGTAGTATTAATCTTAAAAAGTATTTTAAAGTCAGCTGTCTTTCATTTGGTTTAGTTAAGTCCTGGCTTTAAATCCTGATAGGCAAGCTAAATTATCCATGTTAATTTTGTATTACATACATGGAATTACATACATTCTAAAAATGGCCTCAAATGACACTTTAATGTACATTGTCCTTCAGAAGACAAGACTTTTTCCCAAAAGGACACTCCAATGCATGGCTGCTCTGCAGCTGGCACGACTTTTAGGAATGTTTCCCCGTGGTAACTAAAGGGCCGTATCTTAAAAAAAAAGTGACAAAGTAGGTTATTTCTGTTATATTTTTGCCAGGTACTGGGTTTGAACTCAGCGTCTTAAGCTTGGTAGAAGCAAGTGCTCTAAGACCTGATCTGTATTTGAAGTCGTTCTGTATTTTGAGTTTCTTTTTCAGATAGAGTCTTATGCTATCTTTACCCAGACTGGACTTGAACTTCAATTCTTCTATCTACATTTCTTGAGTAGCTGGGATTATACAAACACACCACCATGCCTGACAGTTTCATGTTCTTAAGCACAGAAAGCTATCTACTTGAGATATCCATCTTTTTTCACAGTTCCACTATAAAAATGTGACATGAGTGTTACTGACATATTTTTCAATAGGCATCTCATGAAAAACCACCCTCAAAGCTTTCATTGTTGAGAAGGAATCTATAAAGTTCCATTTAGCTATGACAAATATAGATTATTTTTGTATCAAATAACTTTATAGTTAATTTTATTGCAAGTTGGAAAACAGTTTACTTTGTATATAAAGAGTAAATGATTTAACCCTTCTTTCATGTATTGGAAACATTTTTGTTTACATAAAACTAACAGATGCCAATTGTACAAAATTTAGAAACAAATTAATGAAGAGGAAAACAAAAATTACTAAGTACTACAAACTAGTAACAATTTGTATTAACACTTTGATTTTTACCTTTCCAAGATTTTCCTTTTTTTTTCTGTTCCTACACATGTACTGGTTTCTTACAAACAAGGAATAAGATTTTTAAGAATGTCATCATTATGTAACCTCATTTTTCAATATAACAGCTAAATGTACAGCATGCACTCACCAATTAATTGAATAAATTGAAGTGCTTTTAAAATGCTAAAATGCAAGAATTGTAAAAGTCCATTATAGAAATGTACCTAAAGTCCATCCATTACAGTCATGGTTACTTTTATTTGGATGAGCACAAGCAAGCAGTAATGAAAACCAGATATCTCAGTTATTTCTATACCTAATAAACTCAATGCATCTTTGATACAATCCTGTCTTATTTTTAATAAGGCTGACAGAAGTCACTTTTTCCCAAAAGAATTTCAGATCTCACTTGGTAATTTTTAATAAAAATGACATCTAATACAGAATTTTAGAAATAAACATTTCAGTTTTTCCCTCAATATCCAGCATATTACTGCTTAGAAAATGGAATATTTGAGGTATTAGGATCTATTACTATACTATTTCCCCCTACTTTCTTATGTTCTAATTAGATCCTAGAGTTTAAAAAGTGAAAAACTTGAATGGCTGTGTAAATGATATTCTGAAATCATATTCCAAGTATTCCTTTATTTAAAGCGTAAGATTAGCTGGCACTGGTGGCTAACATCTATAACCCTAGATATTCAGGAGGCTGAGACATGAGGGCTGCAGTTCGAAGCTGGACTGGGCAGGAAAGTATGTGAGACTCTTATCTCCAATGAACCACCAAAAATGCCAGAATTGAAGGTTTGGATCAGGCTTCAGTGGTAGAGTGTTAGCCTTAAATAAAAAGCTAAGAAAAACTAAGGGACAGTGTTCAGACCCTGGGTTGAAGCCCCAGGACCCACACTCACACACACCCACACACAAACACACACACACATACACACACACGTACATAAGATTTTTACTGCTTTACTTTTATTTTAGAATTCTTGGATCAATAATGAAAAACAAAGGCTTTTAGTTAGCTTATAGCAAGTCACAAATATAGCACTGTAGCTGTGCACCAACCATACATACCACTTGGAGACACAATCACCGGCTGTAGGAGTCTTTGTTCTCCCCCTGGGGGAAGGTTCAGGGCAATGACTAGCACTGTTCCTAGTGTTGTTCCAACCCACAGACATGGGCATGGAGATGAGTCTGCCTTTCGAGTGTAAGTTTCACAGAAATGAAGAGCAGAGATGGCTTCTCGGGATTCTTTATCAATGCTGGTTACACTCGAACTCCGTGATCTGCTGAAGGAATTATCCTTTACATCTGAAATGATTTAAAATGTTGTGAGACTGCTCAAGTTAAAGAAAAAAAATCACACTTTCTGGTATAAACTTTGTCAAGTAGTTAAGTCTGTAAAAGAAAAAAAGAAAAGTTATGACATACTTACATTTTAATTTCCTCTCAATAGAAATGAAAAACAACTTTTATGTTCTTAGAATTTCCACTTTGCTTACATGTAAAATAGAAATAAGTAAATCCACAGTTCTTATGTGTGACCTTTGGCATTTTGGCTACTTCTTGCTTCTCTAATTTCAACCATATCACCTTGTCTTCTCATTTAGTAAAACCATTAGGTAAAGCTAGAAAAGTGAAGGTCGTATCAATTGTCTACATGGCTGTTATAAAATTTGTGTAAGTACTGCAACAATGGATTTTTTCCAATCATCCCACGTGAATATTCATCCAAGCAATAAAAGCTTGGTTTCCAGTTTACTTCAATGTCAAACTAATCAACAGTCATCTAAGGAATTTTTCATCAAAATGTATAGCTGGTATCTCAATCCACAATGCATATTTCCTTTACTCAGCTTTGACTGTAGTATTGTGGATATTTAAAAATTATAGTAATCAATCTCTCTTCAGCTACTTCTCTGGGGCCAATCCCAAGCCTATCTCAAGTCCTGGCCTTGTTTCTTTAGGGACAACAAGTGCATACTGGACATTTTCCCTGCTTTTTCTCACTAAACAAAATCAAGTTACATCCTTAACCAAAACTCTAGACTCTTTTCATGAATTTGTCAATACTAATGAACAAATAACTATATAAATAAAAACTATGTTAATGACACTCCTGTTCTCTTAAGGAACAGGTTTGATTCCTCTCTTCCATTTTGCCAATTGAATGCTGGGATGCCAGGCTGTATTCTGTTTTATTTCACTGTTGCTTCCTTTCTTCCAATAACAATTGAGTTCAATTACTCTGAGTTCAGATTCTCATTGCCATATACCTATACTGACATACTTTTAGTCTCTCACAGGTAGCACAATCCAGTTATATTTTATATGGCATAGTTAAGATTTTGTCACTTCGGTTCAAAAAGTCCTCAGGGGCTTCCATTTGTCTACTTAATAATGTCCGTTCTCAGGCTTTTAAGAAACTTCACAAAATAAGTTTAATGTACCTCCTGGCATTTCCTAATGCTACACTACTTTATTGCATTGTGGAATCTCAATAGAGCTATCTGACTTTTCTACCTTTTGGTTTGTTTCAGCCTTTCTCTACCTATCTCAAGTAGTGTATATTTTCCACCTCAGTTTATCCTGACTCCCACAACCACAGTTTCCTTCTCTTTTGATGCTCTAGTTACAGAGGAGTGTATCTCTCCCATTACACTCACACTGCATTTGCTTTACGGTTATTTTTTACTTGTCTTACTCCCTTCTCTAAGACTCAAGTGTCTCTTGTGCAAAAACTATGTCATTTGATCACTTGTGGAATTTTACACAGTACCTTATTTGCAAAAGGTATTCATATTTCATTAAAGAGAGACTATAATTAAGAGCATCGAAACCACTGTTTTTGCTGAGCCATTCAGATATATTAAAATTCTCAGGAGAATCTACAACTCCGATCTAATTAATCATTCCTCAAACCATATACTTTCAGTGCTTTTATGAAAGAAATGTATCTCTGTAATGTCATGAAAAAATGTTTCCTATTCTATATTTTAATAAATAAAAAAGGTGTAACTAGGGCATTTACAGTCAAATTGATACACACAATGAAAATCTTCCCACCATGTAATATTAATTACAGCAAGCCTTTAAAAACAATAAAATTACCTTTACCAACAACAGCAAGGTTCAGTTCTTACTGTAGTTTCTAAAAATGTCTTTCTTTTAAGATTTCATAGCCTGTTACAGTTAAAAAAAAGACTTACTGCTATGATTTGGATATGCAAATAACCAAAGAGCTGGATATGAACCAGTATTTCCCTCAATGTTTCAAAAAAGGCCAGAAGTTTGGTCCTCAGTTTGAAAACATCAGAAGGTAGAATCTTTAAGAGGAAGGGCCCACTGAGAAGTTACTAGGTTACTGAGGTATATCCCTTGGAAGATGAATATGTAGCTCTTAGAAGACTGATTACTTGCAGCAACAAAGGTTGTTAGAAGAGAAAATCTGGTACCTAAAGATGCGTTTAAAAAGAAATGCCACTTTAATGTTGTACATGAAATTTTATTTTGACGGAAATGCCGTTTTTCCACATATGATATAATGAAACTGTTTAATACTGGATATAAAGCAAATTGAATGTGTGTATATATTCATGGTGTTTATATAATGAGTTAGTTGTATAAAAAAGTATTATGGTCGGGTTTTGCTTAGCAAGTGCAAGGCCCTGAGTTCAAACCCTAGTAGCAATAAAAATAAGTGTCATGAAAGAACTACTGTGAAAGAAAAAATGGTTCCTATCTTATTATTATCACTCCTGTAATGATGGTTTTCAACACGAGAAATTTTCTGCAATGAAGAAAACTAGTAATTTAGTTTAAATAATATTCTGTTAGTATAAAATTAAGTTTATAAGTTATAGACTTCAAAATAGGTTTGAAGTGATTGGATGGAACATACTATTTTTGATGAAAATCTGATTGGCACAAACTTTAAGCTTGTATTAATTATGTTCAGATAAAAAAGTATGAAAGGGATGAGAAAATGTATTATTTTGATTTGCTTGAATCTGTTATAAAGTGTATATAATTATTGGATATTATATATTAATATATGAATAAATTATATAATTTGCATTATAATTCCTAGTTTTTCTGTAATAAAGAGGTCATTTAATTTCTGTATTTATTTTGTTAGCTGTTTTACTTACCTAAATCAGGCTTTAGATCAGTTGGCAGACTTAACTTCCTTGACATCTTTGCTGAAAAATAAAACACATTTTAATAAAATCGGAAAAACATTTAAGCCCTACTTATTACACCAACTAATTTTCCAGACAGAAGTGAATAATTTTTTATGCTAAGTCTAGATGCTAGGATAACTAAAGTATGATTAATAATATTAAGAGTGGAAAGTAAATCTTACTTCCAACTTTTAAAAAGTTGTACTTACTAGATGTAATATCTTTCTGTCTTGAAGCTCATACTTCAAGGGAGCCTTTGAATGTTAACACTGAGCTACTGGTTAGGCTTTCAGGAAAGTGTTAGACTTTTCTCAAAGAAAAGTCACTGGGAAAGAAAGAGCTACAGATAAGGCAATAGAGACATGAGACCAAGCTGGGGTAAGTAACAGAACCATCCCAGCTTCTCATCTTCACAGCTGTTGGCATGTTCTTTAAAGTTAAGTTTTAGAAGATAGGGCAAACCTACATTTACAAATTACTTGATTACATCATAGAAATGTCTATACCATCACTTGACAAAAGTTCACAATTCCATTTACAATGCAGTGAAAAACAGAAAAATCAAGTCACGCTTAACAGAAAATTATGGTACTTACATAACATAAGCTATGGGTATTTTTATGTAGAACTAGAAAAATTAAAAGCTAATGTGTAAACTTACTATAATTCACTTTCCATCCTTAAAATCAGTTATTGTCTTAATCTGTAAGTGATTTGAAGTTAGGAGTTGTTCTGCTAGATCTATTATGTTAGTGGTAGTGCATGCGTAACAGAATAGTGCTCTTTATGTGAAATTTGAAAAAGTATTTGTTAATACATGGATGCATATATTTGGTTAAATTTTGGACTGTTAGGAGATATTTAAAGCACAGACCCTGCTAGTCCATAAGGGCGCCATGTAAACAAAGAGAAATCCAGTCATAGTACATAACTTCCACATCTAAAAAAATGACAAATGCAGCATTAGGAAGAAGGCATTAGACAGACTGGGAAGGGATAAGGGACAGGGGTGTGACATCTTGTTACCTCAAGCTTCATTAACCTAATTAGTAGCCTTAACAACAATGGGTCAAATTTATGCATCAATCACCCCATTTGCATCAACTTAGTCAATTTTGGTTAAAAAATAAAAATGCAACACAAAATTAAATAGCTATAAATAATATCTATGGTAGTGTGATTTCACATATATGGTTGCTATTGTATTTGATAAGCAATATCCTTAAAACTAGACACAAAATTATATCTCTAAACAGTCCTCTATCAAGCGATATTAACAGTTGGAAAGAATTCAGTTTTTTTTTGTGTGCCAAATCTGATAGGTCTAATACACATAGATTGATTTATAGTAACTATACAATATGAATAGCCTCAGAAGTAGAAAATCAACCTGGCACAGTCAACAGATTTTCTAGAACCAGAAGATATGGATGCCATTTCTTTCTTGTTCTTTTTTTTTTGGTCGGTCGTGGGGCTTGAACTCTAGGCTTGGGCATTATCCCTCAGCTCTTCAGCTCAAGGCGAGTGCTCTACTGGTTGAGCCACAGCACCACTTCCGGTTTTCTAGTGGTTTATTGGAGATAAAAGTCTCACGGACTTTCCTTGCCTGGGCTGGCTTTGAATCATGATCCTCAGTTCTCAGCCTCCTGAGTAGCTAATATTACAGGCATAAGCCACTGGTGCCCGGCTGGAGCCATTTCTTCAAACCCTACTCAGCTTTGATTAAGTTGTTCTAAGTCAATGGGACCTGTTCTTCTCAAACTTGAATGTACACCTGTCACCTAAGGATCTTCTTGACCTGCTCATTCTGACTTTGTTCTGCACTAGGGCCTCAGAAGAACTTCTCAGAAGCTTCAAGCAGATGGCAATATTGTTGGTCTGTGGACCAAGGTTTAAGTGACAAGGATCCTGAGATTACAAGTAATTACAGGCTAGGAACCAAGACAAATTTATTAAACTGTGTGTGTGTGCATGCACACATTAAGCCCACAACAAATGTGCGGCTAAGCTTCAATATCTAGTTTGATAAAAAAAAATGTAGGTATATCAAGTGTACTGGTTAAGATTGGGTTTGGAAACATTAAAACTGGTCTAGATCCACTTCAACCAATTACTAGATGTGCAACCTTAAGGCAATGGCTTAACTTTCTAGACCTTGAAGGGCAGAGAGTTGTGAAGAATATATAAGACAATGTAAACAAATGCTGAGCTGAATACCTGACTCATAATTATTTAATAAATGTTAGTTATTAATGAGAATGGTTCTTATAAACACTACACAAAATAAGCTGTCATTATACTTTCAAGTAACCTAATATTCCTTCATTCTATGCTAATAGCTCAAGTAACTAAACAGACAAGTTGTTAATAACATTTAAAGTACATTTTAAGAATTGTTTTTGCAAAAAGAATTCATTCTTAGTAAAAATAATACAAACAGTGCACATATTTTAAAACATTGTTTAACATCCCACCAAACAGAAATTAAGTTTTGCTGAACATCCTTTAGTATCTTTCTAGAATAGATAAAAAATGATGAGCATTCATAGATTCTGCACTTGCTCTAGTAACCCTAAGTTCAAATTTATCTTCCAACTTCCTGAGATAAAAGTTAAGATCACTGGCTTAATACAGCTCTTTTCCAATTTAAATGTTTAAAATACACATTTCCTAGGCCGTGGCTTGAATCTCCACATAGACTTCTAGAAATTCTTCCTGAGCAGTTCCTTCCTCTTCAGTATTCTGTACCACATATTCGAGTTATTAGCAGCCTCAAGTTCTGGTCTGTTTCCTTAGCTGGTAATTCAATTCCACTGGGGCTCAGCCTGTCCAGTGTTTCAAAAGGATGGCTGAAATAAAACTTCTGGCTCACCTCAGGCTTCTCCATTTTCTCAAGGAAAACTGTCTTACAATACCTATTGCTCCATCCCAGGGAACAGTAATCTCATTTGATCAGATTCATAGCTGTTTGTTTTTGTTTTGTGTGTATGAGTGTAAGGCTAAATTCTAAACCCAAGGTCTAAAGTTTATGTTAAGGCTAAAAGTTTGTATCTTTCTAATATTGTGATTCTGAGGAATATACTTGTTATTGGTTTAGTCAGCTTTTCTGATAGCAGGTCCTACACAGGCAGACATATCTCTGGACTAATGCTGTCAGCTTTCCTGGCTCAATACTTACATTCTGCTATAATTCTGTGATGAAAGACCATCATATTTTACCTAGTAGCTTATGATACTTATATTTTTATTTCTCAGGAGTCATGGGCAATTGTCAAATCAGTTGATTTCATGCTATTTCTCAAATAATTTATGTTCCTGCCTTGAAGCTGCTCATCTTGTACTTTGCCTTTTGACTGAACACATGGAATTTAAATAAGTTCCCAGAAATCACATTATCTATGGTTTTCTCCACTCTACCACTTTGAGCCACAGTGCCATTTTCAGTTTTTGAGTGGTTAACTAGAGAAAGAGTCTCATGGGGACTTTTCTGCCTGGGCTGACTTTGAACCAGGATCCCCAGTATCAGCCTCCTGAATAGCTAGGATTACAGGTGTGAGCCACCAGTGCCCAGCTTAGACGCTTTTAAAAAACCCAGTCTTATAGGAAGGAACTAACCAGGGTTCCATGAAAATTACATTAATCCCTTTGGAGGGTGACACCCTAAAAAACCTAATTACCTTGCACTAAGCCCTGACTTTGAAAGATTTTACCACCTTTAGACATTGCGGTATTGAAGATCTCTGGGGAAACATTCAAACCCCTGCAATTACCAAGGAAAGATATTCTCCAGCGAGGGGACTGTTTGAACCTTATATTGTAAGTGACTTCATGTTTGATGTGTTTTAGTCTTTTGCAGCTGGATAAATTGTTGCCTTTTCAATTGTGAAAATTCTCATTGTTTCTTTTATATTAAACAGTTACTTTATAATTTTCCTTCAGGCCTATCTATCCATTGTATCTACATTTTGTATTTTCTAAAAATAGTTCCTTAAGAAAAGCAATCTTAATCCCCACTTTTTAAAATGTGACCTTTACAGTAAAAGCATAACTTTAAACAAGGTAAAAGTACTCCCCATGACAGTAAGGTCAAATAGTGAAAAATGCAAACTGATCTGTTTACATCGAGACAATTGTCAGAAAAAAATGACAATATCATTTTTCTCTCTACATGCTGACATTCAATACTGTTCTTTTTGAGTGATAATGTTCAAGTCTATAATATTAAATAAACAATCAGGCTAGTAAAGAGCTTAACCTAAAAATCTGCTTGTAGGATGGCAAAGAATCCAAAGGGGGGGGGGAGTAAGACTGAAAGGTAGAGGCTGCTGTAGCAATTGTTTTAATAGCCATTAAATCTAATAATACCAGGGTCTATAGTCTACAGCAGAAGATAAAGTTCATGAGTTCAGAAACCGAGTTCCATGCATAAATACAGAAATGAATGTATATCCAGTAACTATCATAAGAATAAATAAATAACAAATGGATTAAAAACTGTCACTGGACCTTTAGAGAAAGAAGCTAAATTACTCAGACAAAATAAATAAAGAGAAATAAGGGAAAATTAAAACAAAAGGAGTATTTTCAGAAATACTGACAGTTCCCATATCCATGACCTAATATGGAAGATTTTTAGAGATACTGACATAGATATTGGTATAGATTTAGTTCTAACAAATGCTCTTTACTCTTGAGCTTTTATCAGTTCGTTCCCACTTAAGTTTACTGTTTCCCATAGCACCATAATTAATGTCTGCAATAGTTCAGAGAATATTCTATGTAATAAAAGGTTCTACCAATCTTTTAATATAATAAGTACTAATATTACAATTATAAGTGCTAAATTGTGCCCCTCCCCCCAAATCCATATGGGGAATTCCTGATCCAATTCCTCAGATTGTGCCTGTACTTGGAGAGAGGGTCATTAAAGAAGTGATTAAGTTAAAATTAAATTGTTACACTGGGTCGTCATTCAATTTGCCTATGTCCAGGAGCAAGCACAGACACAGAAAGAAGATATCAGGTGAAAATACAGTGAGAGGGCAACCATCTACAAGCCAAAGAAAAAGTTCTAGAACCATACCCACTGATCTTGACTTGACTTTGACTTCCAGTCTCCAGAACTGAGAGAAAACAAATGTCTGCTGATTAAGCCTCCTATTCTGTGGAATTTTGTGATGGCAATCTAGCAAACTATTAAATTGTAACAAACCTATAATGTCACATTTATAGTCTGCTCACGTAATAGCTGAAAAAAAATACCCAATGTACAAAACCTTATTTTCAGTAATGTACTGTTAATTGTGGTTACTTTTGTTAGAAAGCAAATGGTAAGCTCATTGTACGTCCTTATTTCATTTAAAATAAGATGGCTTTGTTGAGATAGTAAAAAACACACAATAAGTACTGAAATATAAAATCGAAAGAAACTCTCAAGTACATTTAATTATGAAATAACACAAAAATACATGCAGAAATGAAATTTGAATATGATAATACCGTCTAGATTTTAGTTTGAGGATTCATTAGAAGTTAGACTTGTATGATGATTCTAAAGTATATGTCTACCAATTATATTATTTGACTAATAATCCTTTTCTTTCAAAGTAGAAAGTATTAACATTACTTGCAAAAAACGGTGTCACTAAATACTCATCTCTTAAGATGAGCTTCTAGAGCATGGTGGTTTATTCCTATGTTTCAGCTACTGAGGAATAAGAGATTTAGGGGATTATCATCTGAAGCCAGTTCTTGGCAAAAATGCAATACTATTGAAAAATAACTAAAACAATGACTAAGGTGTGGCTCAAGTAATACAGTATCTATCTTTCTAACAAGCAGGAGACATTAAGTTTGGACATTTTGCCTGGATTGGACTTGAAGTATAATCTTCCCAATCTACCTCTGCATCCTGAGCAGCTTAGGACCATAACCATGAACCACTGCACATGGTAATGAGGAAACTGAAACTTAATTTTTATCAACTATGGATTGGACACATAACGAGAACATAGTATTTAGAAGGCTCAAGGAGTCCTAGTATTTCTAACATTATGTCACACAGAATTATCAGTCCTGACAGAGGTCTCTTGAGGAGATCTATGAAGTTTCTTTTGTTTCTATAGTAGATTATATGTTAAAACATTACAAAATGGGATACTAATATAGGGAAATAAACTAATGTATCATTTTATGAATCACTTTCACAGTGCAAAACAGGGCAGCTCTGTTTCTGTACACGAGAACTATAGGATTGAAAGAATAGTTAGGCAGGAAAGAATAGTGGGGCTGGGCACTGGTGGCTTATGTCTATAATTCTATCTACTCAGAAGGCCAAGATCTGAGGATCACAGCCGCAAGCCATTCAGGGAGGGACAGTCTATGAGACTCTGATCTCCAGTTAATCACACACACACACACACACACCAGAAATGGAGTTGTAGCTCAAGTGGTAGAGTGCTAGCCTTTAGCACAAAAGTACAGGGACTGGCACAAACACACACACACAAATGAATAGCGAAAGATTTCAACACACAAAAAATTATAAGTTAAAAATTACTATTCATACCTATACACTAACATACCTTTGAAAAGACTAATAGAGTCTAAAAATATAACTACAAAAATTGGCATGATAGAAAAATTCACTCATAATATGAAAAAATAATCAAGAAAGCTATCAAGGAACTATCCTTCAATCATGTCCTCAGAAGTACTAAATTTGTTAGTAAAGTGTTTCAAATACTTGAGCTCTAATATAGGAAGGTGACCAATGCTTTAAACAAAGTAAATATGACCTGAATAGCAAATGCTGAAAATTATTTTACAAATTTAATTACTAAAAATTCCTCTCGTTTACAGTAAAATTCCTAGGTAATTTAATTCTAAAAGTTGCTCACTTAAATATATTTTGTATTACACCACAATAAAAGAACCTTTAGCATACTCTTAGAACATGCCAAGAAGGAAACTTGTTGAAAAGTATCATGTTATGGTTCTAGTACATAATTAAAATGATTTAACCATTACAAGAAGATTCACTAAAAAATACACAAATATGTAAAGGTAAGTAATTGATTCTCTTTAAATGAAAAGCCCTTTGCCAAAGAATAAATCATCTTATTTTAAAAAAATGTGTGGAGGGCTACCGCCACCACCGTGAATATGGAGACAGGGTTCAATTTACAGCACACAGACAACAGGGATGTCACTCTGGAAATGTCTTAAATATCTAGCTGTCCACAAGTGGATCTAATTTAGGTAGGTTCAATTAATATGTGACATAGAGCTTGAAGAAAATGAAATACATCTTCTTCTATAAAACCATTTTTTTAGGCATTAAAAATTTTGGAGAATATTCAAAATTTTGTGACCCAAAACTCAGTTTAGTGACATCCTCCAAGTTTTATTATATATTTTATTCTTCAGTATTAAACTTGAGAATCATAAACAATAATTAGTTTCAGAATAGACGAAGTAATTAATTACAAAGTATATCCATAAGAACAACTTGAGTGAGTACAGTAAACATTTTTCCTTGCATATGTTGGGAAGGTGAAAAAAAAATTCATTTAAAGCCAAACTGGTGTAGATTATAAACTGAAAAAGTCAATCTTTTGGAAAACTATTTTCTTGAATTTGGAGTCTTCCTAATGTGAGGGATTATGGAGTAGAGGTAGGAAAAAATACAAATAAAACCAAAAGAAAAATATGACTTAAAAGCTTGAGAGTATAAAACTGTACTACTTATAGCATAAATTGAACCCTGTTTTATTTGAAAACAAAAAATAAAAGTTAACAGAATAATTCACACTGTGAGTCAAGAGAAAGAACTGCATTCCCAATTTAACTGATTTTAATAATTACTGCCCCAATGAGTTAAGAAGAAACACAGCCCAAGAGATTATTGTTTAGCATAAGGATAAAAAAATTAATATATACAAGATGCAATGCACTGGATAATTTTCTGCTGTTGGTTAGCATTGCATATAGCAAGGATTAGAAACAAAATAGAAATGTCTATTTCCTACCTATATCACTGGCTACCATCTTGGAAAACTTTCTGCTTTTGGTCTTCACTGAAAATAATATTTTGATATAAAAATGTCAAAATCTATTCAAAGTAAACTAAAGAAATTAAACATAAATAAGAATATTTTAAAACAAAGATACTATACCCTTTTCTATAAAATTATTCATTTTTTGTTCATCATCTGAATTGTGTGGTGATGAAGAACCTACACAAATGAAGACAATGGAAGGAACAGGCACATAGTCAGTCACAAACATTGAGGTGTCACAAGAAAAAGTACAAATAAAAGACCTGGCAACTTCAAAAGTAAGCAGTCACATATTTGGCCCAAAAAAGGCCATTTATATAGTTCTTAAGAATTCTGATTACACAGAACATCTTGCATGGTACACATTAATATATGCAAATATTAACCAATATTTTTCCTTAAGGAACAATAATTTGGCAAAAATCTTAAGTGTGTATGATATATGAAATAACACAGAAAGAAAAATATAACTTATAAAGACCTATTAAAATTATATACATTATACTTTTTACAATCTTCCCAACTGTGAATTACTTCCCATCTTTGATTTTTTGTAATACTTCACAACTCTTAATGTCCTGAGGTTGAATTTACATATATATATGTGTGTGTGTGTGTTTGTGTGTATGTACATATATATATATAGATATATATATATCTATATATATATATGTCTATCCTCATTTAAATGAACTTCTAAAAACCAGAGTAAGACAACTGAGCCACTTTTTTTTTTGTTATCTCCTTTGTGATCACTAAAGTGTTTTGTATGTAGGTATCTATAAGTATCTGCTGAATGAATAAGGTTTTCCAGCTAGAAACAAATGCAGAAAATGCAACTGGAAGTTAATTAGAGGCTGCTTTTCTGTGCTTAGAGCAATTCCTGAAACAGTAATAAAGCATAATAAATTGGATAAAAAATTGACATACTCTTATCTGCTTTCCCTCCTCAAATCATACTTCCTTCATTTAGCCTGATTGCAAATACCTTGACAGTCTCTATTCAAGAAAAACCTCAACACTGACAGAATCCAACTACTTCCATTTAGATTTAAAAGATTATTCTTTGAAAATCCATATTATTTTTCCTAAATAATATTTATAAATCTCGTATCAAAAACAGTACAAAAGTAACATTAAACTCCATAACATTTCAAGGAAGGGAAACAGGTAAGCTTTTTTCATATAAATATAACTTAGACTTAATAAATTAATGGTCAGGATATGTTCTGCACATTTTAAAATATTACCATCATCACACATACTAAATAACCACAAATATTCAAAAATGACACTGGTTTTATCTAATAAGTTTAATATTAGAGGAATAACAGGGTAACATCTATATATGATAAAATTATAAAAATATTTCACATTTTCAAAATAAAAATAGGCAATATAGTCTTTAAATGTAAATCAAAGGTGTTGGCTTAAATTTATTCTAACTCAAATTTTCTAATATTGGTTATAACTTATGTGTCAGCTTATCAAAACTGTGATAAGACGGTTTTCAACATATCCACTGGAATAAAATAACCAAAATAAATATAATTAAATCCTAAAATATCTACAGGTTATTGATTTTCCTACGTCACATACAAACTTCATAAGGCAACCTTTGTATAATGGTACATATGGTCCTCTAGTTTAAAATAACCTAATCAATTTCTGAAAACACTTCTGTAACATTTTATATGACTGTACACTGAGACACATACATATAGATGCACTACAAATTCCATCATTACTGAAATGGTCAGTGACACAGTCTGAGTTCTCTGAAATGAAGATAAATGGAGGCTACCACTGTAATTGGTTTATAACATGTATGTCTGATAGGCAGTATTAAGTTCTTTTTAGAGATAACTGGTTCATTTTAAAGTAACTTAGAAAAGATACGCTCTGCTTACTATTTCTATTTTCTCATTTTTCTGGAGAGTTTTTTCTTATTCATTATGGAACTGAAGTTATTCTTTTAGCTTCTGCAATTTGATAATAGCCATGAGATGCCTACTATATTATTTTCTTAATATTTATGGAGTCATAATTCTAATCCATTTTTTCCTTTCCTAAAAATACAAACTTTTAAAATATTAGCTACATTAGTTTTAACAATTTTCATCTACTAGAAACATAAAAATGATGGCTTTTTACATTCACTATATGTTCATTTCATGCAATTTTTGACCATAAGTAGAATTTGCATTTGTTGACAAGAGTCAGATAGCCTGCTCAAATCTCAATTTAGGTTCTACCGTAATACCCATAGTACCTATGCTCGAGTGACATTTGAAACTGTTTATCCTCTATGAAAGTGAGTTCTTTAAAAAGGACTATTTCCTGACACTTAAGGATGGGCATAATTCCTTAGAGAATTCTTAGATCTTTCAGAGCATATTAAAAAGTTAAATTAAATTATTGGCTCTATAATTAAGAATTCCCGACTTATCAATTATTTTATTTTATTATTTTTTAAAAATTTTATTGTAAAGGTGCTGTACAAAGGGGTTACAGTTATATAAGATGATGAGTACATTTCTTGTCATTATTTTATTTTTTATTGTGAGAATATCGTACAGAGGATACCGTACATGGGCAAGATAACGAGTACATTTCTTATCAAGCATTGTTGCCTCCTCCTTCTTTCCCCTTCCCATCCCTTCCCATACTCCTCCCCTCCCCCCACCCGATTCTCCCCCCCACCCTACCCAAATTGTTAAGTTTGTTTTACAACATAATGACTTGTACATCTCATTGTTGCAATGGGTCCACCTGTATTCCTAGTTAAACAATTTGTTTTTATGATTTTATGAAATCACAAATTTTACTTTGCATTTTCAGACAGAAAATCTATTGTCCCAAGGGCTGGATGCAGGGGCATGTGCCTATCAATCCAGCTACAATGGGAAGCCTAAACAAGCAGACTGTGGTCCAGCCTTGCCAAGGCAGGAATTGAACTCCAATCTCAAAAAATAACCAGTGTAAAAAAGTGACAGAGACATAGCTCAGTGGCAGAGTGTCTAGTAAAAGCTAGGCCCTGAATTCAAATCTTAGTACTGCTAAAAAAATTATACTGCCTTTTCACATGGACAAAAAAAAAATAAAATAAAAAATATATATCTCAAGATGTTAAACCATGCTTGCGTTTCTCTAGTTTGAGAGAATTTTTTTTTTGTCTGTCATGGGACTTGAACTCTGGGCCTGGGCGCTGTCCCTCAGCTCTTCAGCTCAAGGCGAGTGCTCTACCACTTGAGCCACAGTGCCACTTCGAGTTTTTTGTTTTTTTTTTTTGTCGGTTGCAGGGCTTGAACTTTGGGCCTGGGCGCTGTCCCTGTGCTTTTCAGCTCAAAGTGAGTGTTCTACCA